TTTTATTTTTTTTTGCCGATGCCCGTGATGCCGCCCCGGGCAACCGCCCGTGTCGCCCGTATCAAAAACCGCTACTGATTGCACGAGACTGACTCCAAGAGTTGTATTTTTGCATAATAAATGCAATAAAACCGCATAAATATTTTAAATAAAAATATTAAACGTTTTATTAATAATATAAAAATCGTGGAATTCACAGATTTATTGCTTGCTCATTCGTAACATCCTCCTTTATTGTTGTTTCCAGTCTAGTCCTATTTTATATTGTATGCCAATGCAGAGGGTAATATGGAAAAAACAAACAAAAAAGAAGAAGTTGACATCTAACATCTAGTGGCTAAAGCTCAGTATTACATTTTGTACTAAGGAGTCAAAAGCAAGCTACGAAGTTGTTCTAATTTCCAGCCACTCAGGCAATGTTTTTAAGGTGCACTGTCTTTACCTGTTTTTTTGTTTTTTTACCAGCGGAAATGTTTTACCGTAAAAACTACCAAAATTATTTTTACCTTATTATCAGTCAATATTTAAATGGCATGCTTATTTTCCAACAAATACTTTTTCAAAACATTCTTAAGGCTGAACAAATTGTCTTAAGGTTGTTCGTTTCTAAAAGTGATTTTAAAAAAGCACAGACAGACATTTTTACAGTCCTTGTAGACTACAATGTCCTGAAATTACTGAAAACAAATCACATTCCTACAATGGTTCAGGCTTTCTTGGGAGGGTTTATCTAAGAATTCATCACTTAGACACGATATTATTAAAAGATTCAGAGAATTCTCTGCACGAGTCAAAGCCACTACTAGCAAAATCTCCAGTTTAAATCGACTGAGGAAAAGTTAAAAACTCTCCTGTCGTAAAACCTGTGATTTTCAAATCCTTTTTGGAAACCTCGGGCACCACCTTGTCAAAACAGAGACCTTCCTTCCTTGTTATCAGCTCACAGTTCAAAAGCCAGCATCAGGGAAGATGAATGCTTATTAATGTTGATGCATTAACATTAAGGAGACTGCAGACCAGATATTTTAAAGCAGGGCTCTCTAGTAAAGGAGTGTAAGTCCTTTCAGTAGCTGTGTGGCCTGGGCAGCAGAAATCCTGGCTCAAACAGGAATGAGATATTACAGGCTCACTCCTCCCATTGCTAAAGGTAATTAGCGTGCAAAGCTGAAGAGCTATGATGACATAAAAAGAAAAACAAACACAAGGCAATCACAGATAAGACTGTCACTTATTAACCAGGCAGGTAGGACACGAACTGTTAATGTGGATAAATACACGGAGATAATAAATCGGACAAAGTTCTTGATCACGCAGTAAATAATTAACACGGGTTATGTAATTCGTGCCAGCAGAGAGCACGTTTTTCATATTTTAAAATGTACATTTACCTGTTATCCCATGCTATAAATGTCAATTTAATAAACTTTCTATGAAGTCCCCCACACATCCTCCTCTCCTCCTGGGCAATAGATGGCAATGTAAGACCAGGGGTCCCCTTTACCCACTACAGGACAGTAGAGGAGAGGAGGAGTAAAAGGCAGGGCAAAAACATGTCACAGAGCTTTTAAGGACAGCCTGACACCGACATTTCAGCACACACAGGCTGAGCACACACACGGCATGAAAAATGGCAGTTTTAATTGGCAGTTACAGCACAACTTTACTCGGAGTTAGCATCTTTGTTGCTTTGCTGACC